ATTTCATTTAATTAATGTATAATATACTGAGCTAAGATTGTCGGTATCCGATCTGAAATTCATAGCATTGTTATGTTTTTTAATCTGTATCATTTCATGGCCTCTTCTCTTATTATAATTACTCTCGTTAGTCAGTATTTTTGTGTTATCAAAATCAAAATTATGCAACTTCTGTTGTGTATGCTGTGCTAATGCTGTACCATTTTCGTTATTTTTTCTTAGGCTATACTTATGTTCGTATATTCTTTTCTTTAGATATTGTCCTGTTTGACCTAGTATGTGTTATCACAATTCAAACAGTTTATTTTGTAAATTACATTAGGCATGTCTAACGTGTCAATTCTAGGTTTAAATTTTGTGAAACTTTGATTTGCTAAGGTGTTTTTATGATATCAAGTATATATCATTACGATATATTCCGGAAATTAAAATAAAAATAAAAAATATATTCAAACCACATAATATTAACATAGCAGAAAAAACTAAAAACACCTTAGCAAATGAATGTTTCACAAAATTTAAACCTAGGATTGACAAGTTAGACAAGCCTAATGTAATTTACAAAATAGACTGTTTGAATTGAACACATACATAGGTCAAACAGGACAATATCTAAAGAAAAGAATATACGAACATAAGATAGCCTAAGAAAAAATAACGAAAATGGTACAGCATTAGCACAGCATGCACAACAGAAGTTACATAATTTTGATTTTGATAACACAAATTAACGAGAGTAATTATAATAAGAGAAGAGTCCATGAAATGATACAGATTGAAAAACATAACAATGCTATGAATTTCAGATCGGATACCGACAATCTTAGCTCAGTATATCATACATTATATAAATGAAATAAACATAGAATATTAACTAACACCTGGTATATTGAAAAATTTTGCAAACCAAAAATAATATTCTCAGAATTCAAAGAAAAATAGCTGAAAATAAAAGAAATCAATATAAACAATATTTTATTCGCTTTGTGTCCAAAATGGACAAAATTAATACTCCAAATGTATGCCAAGGCTTAAAGCAGCAACAACGCTACACGTGTAAGTAAAAATATTTAAGCATCTCAACAAAGAATTATAGTCTCTTCCCAAATTTGATTGTCCTGACTAATCACCTGTTAGGCCTAATTAATTTTAGAATGTTTTAAAGTGTTGCAACTGTGATGTATTTTAATGTGCGATATGATGAGGCTGTTGACGAACTGTGATTGTTTTTTAAATTAATGAAATTATTTTTTTTAACTATGTTATTTTAGAAAAACTGATGGTGGTGGAAAAATACACCGAAACATATTTTAATTGATAAATAAAGACAATAAATGACTGAAACCCAGGAACTAATTTTGATTTGGTTCTGTTTACTGGATTATTGACGCCACAATTT